AAAGAAAACCAGAAAGAAAGATTTAACATTAACACAACAGAAATGAAGGCAATTAAAAAACTCACAAACAAAATGAACTCGGTGTACAAAATGATGCAGAGCAAAGAAACCAAAAGCATCACACAGAAACCCACACACAGAGCAAAAGGGCAGCAATCATTTCCTCCCTGTTGTTAATCACAGGAAATGTAAATGGATTAAACGCACAAGTCAAGGAACAGTAGCAGGTAGTGCCCAGACTCCAAACAATAGTCAGGACGGCTGAAGGTGACCCCAAGAAACCAAAGGGCCAAATGTCTACAAGTGCCTTCTTTGTGCAGACATGCAGAGAGGAACATATGAAGAAAAACCCAGAGGTCCCTGTCAATTTTGCTGAATTTTCCAAGAAGTGCTCTGCAAGGTGGAAGACTGTCTGGGAAAGAGAAATCTAAATTGGAAGAGATGACAAAGGCAGACAAAATACGTTATGATCTGGAAATGAAGGATTATGGGCCAGCTAAGGGAGGCAAGAAGAAGGACCCCAATGCCCCCAAACGACCACCGTCTGGATTCTTCCTGTTCTGGTCTGAATTTCGCCCCAAGATCAAATCCACGAACCCTGGCAGTTCGATTGGGAATGTGGCCAAAAAACTGGGTGAGACGTGGAACAGCCTGAGAGTGAGAAGCAGCCTTATATCAAGGAGGTGGCGAAACTGAAGGATGTTGCCGACTATAAATCTAAAGGGAGTTTGATGGTGCTAAGGGTCTTGTTAAAGTTGCTGGGGAAAAAATGGAGGAGGAAGATGAAAAGAAGGAAGAGGAATATGAAGAGAAGGAGGAAGAGGAAGAAGAGCAGGAGGAATAAAACTGTTTGTCTCCTGTGAATATCTTAGAGTAGGGGAGCTCCCTGATAGGCGATTGACGCGTGTCTCCGAAGCTTGTCTGTTGCCCTCATTAGGTTTCATTACAAAACTGGGTCACGATCATACTGTAGTCTCTCAAAGTGCTCTAGACCTCGCCAGAGATTTACATCAAGTCGCCCTGCGTGTCCAGAGCACCCTGAGCCTGTATCAAAATTAGTCATACTCCCAAGCATTTATCAAATGAAAAGGCACTCTCGTAATCTACTCACTCTGTGCACTTTGCTGTTGGTGTGACAAGGCTTTTAAAGCTGTTTCTGCCATTTTCGTTTTTTGTTTGTTTAATTTGTAAGGTGGTGTTCACGAAATGGTTATTGGCTAGAAATCCTGAGTTCTCAACTGTATGTATCTATAGTTTGTAAAAAGAACAAAACAATTGGGACACACTCTTGGTCCATGCTTGACTGGGGGTGCGGGGGGAGAGTCCTTCGGAGGCGCTGGAGCTCAGGGCATGCACTGTGAAGCTGACCTGTTGACATGCATTGGTCATCCACTCAACTTCAGGTTGTCTCGGTTTTTGTATATAGTGTGACGGTAGCATTTGCTGCTATTCTTAGCTGTGGAAAAAATGGGGGTCAGCCGGCATGAGAAGTATTTGCATTTTTGTGTAGTGTTTTTTTAAGTGCAGTAGTTTTTCAAATGTTTGTTTTAGGACAAATGTCGAAGCGAAGCAAAGAGCCACTTACTTCATCAGTGGAAGTTCAAGAACCTTCCGTACCTAAACACTTTGCAATGTTGTTGTATCTTTTGTGTGTTTAGACTGCTGAAATGTATTTGAAGTTAAATAAAACAGTATTACATTAAAAGAGAGAGAGAGACAGTAGCAGAATGGATAAGAAAACAGAGTCCTTCAATATGTTTAAACAAACTGATCTATACATCCAATGGAATACATTGAAGGAAAATTATGAATCTGTGAAACACCTTACAACATAGTTGAACCTGGAAGACATTATGCTGAGTGAAATTAGTCAATCACAAAAGGATAAATATTGTATGAAACCAATACTGTACAAAGTTTTCTTGATATTAGATAACAGTCTATGACGGTTCTGGGACTCCTGGTGTGGCGCTGTAGGATCAGCACTGCACTGTGAACCACTGGTCTGCAGTTCAAACCCACCAGCTTCTCCTTGGAAACCCTGTACAGGGTAGCTATGAGTAGAAACTGACTGATAGCAATTAACAACAATAACAATGATGGTTGGAACAGGAAATATACAAGAAGAGGGAGGTTAGCAGAGG